CACTGTGGCCTTGCCTCCCCTGGCCGGTCCTCACGCCTCTCCGCGCCCCCTCCCCCCAACGATCAATTACCAGCCACCCTTCTGCCGGGAGCGGCGAGGGGCTGGCTGGCGGCCGCGAGGAAACGGCAGCCCGGATCACTTCTGCATGACAATTGATGGGAGGGAGGGCGCGAGGCGAGGAGGGAGGACGGCCGCGGGTGTCCGTTTTCTCACCATGGTGATTAGGCATTCCGGCCGTGCGAGGAGGCAGCCGCCGAACAGCGGCGCGCTGTGGAGCGAGGGCAGGGGAAGAGAGCGGGAGCGAGAGCGAGAGCGAGCCCAGGCGCCCGGCGAGCGGCGCGCCGAGCTGAGCCAAGCCAGGCCAGATGGCTCTGCAGCCATCAGGGACCGCTCCCGTCCAGCCCGGCCCCACTTTAGCTGTGCAAACATTTCTTTATCCCAACAAGACAATTAAACCCAGCAGCATGAAAAGGAGTCTCCATGACTGTGTTGGGAGTGAACAACCAGAAACCACACACATCACAGGAGTTCTTGCCCCCGGGGAGAAAGGGGGGAGAGCAGGGGAGCAGCTGAGCTGGGCTAGGTCTGGGCAGTCAGGACAGAGGGAACCATCTGACCCCCTCTCCTCTGATGATTTGCTGACCCTTTCACACTGTTCATCTGCTTCAGCTGCAATCCAGAGGTGGCGCCTGGTGACCTTGGAACTGCCTCCAAACATTCTCCACACCCCAGACTAACAGCTCTGCCCACCCAGTTCCATAGCCCTTGGAAGGTAGTCCACTAACATCATCCCCATGATGTCAGCCCTCCTCATTTCAGGCTGTCCTTGGCCTGAGAGCTCAGTGTATTCTCAGGACATAGGGTCTTCAATGACAACATGCCTTTATAAAGATACATCTCAGAGTACAAGATACCATCTCCTACTCAGGGATTTTGGGACCTGAGAATAGTTTTTCAAATATATCAAAGATGAGAGCAAAGCAAAATATCCAGGAATTGTTTGGAGCCATCAGCTTTCCTGCCTACCTGTGAATCTGCTTGACCAGAGGAAGGGCCAAGGAAGAGGGCCAAGTAAAGCCACTTACGGTCAGTGCCCAGTGCCCCTCCCTGGGGTGAGCCAGAAGGCAGGCCAGTCCCTGCTCCATGGGGACAGTTCTGGGCCTTCTCAGTCCTGAGGTGAGCACACATACTAGCCAACTCCAATTTGGGCTGAATGGATAGGGGGCTGGCCAAAGACTTGTGTCACCCAGCAGGAGTCTGGGCACAGGGGAGATCTAAAGAGAACCATCAGGAGATGCACATGACAAAGCCAGAGTGTTGAGGGGGTAATAAGTGTATGGATTACAGCACAAGGCAGCAGACAGTACTTACCTTCTCTTTTGTTGTAAAGTTTCCTTAATGAGGAATGTTTATTTTAAAGGCCCTGGGAAACATATCTGTAGACGCTTCATATGTAAGACACAATAAGGACTATCTGTAATTGGTCCATAAATTTCAGCATCTTTTCCCTGGACAAGAAACCTTGGGGACTGGTTCAGGGAGTGACAATAAACTGGAGTTACCTCAGTCCTCTTCCTGGGGAATTATGTATCCTCCATGAAGGGCTCCTCACAAAACACTTCTCCCCTTTTCCAGGGCAAATAAGTCAGTCCTGTAGAGCAAAGGCTTCCTGTTCCTTGGAGCCCAACACCTACCTCAGGATCACCTGTGATGCCAGGTAGATGGAAAGGCAAACAAACTGGAATCATCTACTGGAGAGAGGATATTTTACCCAAATAGCTATATTTCCATCTTCAAAAAATGCATGTTTGATCACAAAAGAAATTCTGCCTATCATAACCAGAATTAAGGAATCAGTGCTTGTGTATTACACCATGCCTGCAGGACCCTCTTAAAAGGCGTTCATTCACATGTGGACATATCTGCATATGGATGTAGTGAGTGTGTGAGCAGAGGGTGGCTGCAACAGTAAAAGCTGTCAGTGTTTCCATTATAAAACTGATTTTGCAGTGACCTAAAACTCAAGTCATAAAACTTGTACTCTGAGGAAGGACGTACACACCCCCATTTTCACATCCCCTCCATTCCCAACAAAGCTCTAAAACTAAACACTTACTTAGAGTTTTACTGTTGTTTTTTAATTAAAACATTTCTTACATTTTATGAAAACATTTTATTTATATAAAAAGAACTGAAAAATAAATCAACCATCAGAAATTAATTCTAGATTTTAATAATAAAAAACCTAAATTATACATGATTCATTTTGGCAATCCTGGGAAAAGCACTGTATCCTCCCCGGTTTCTCCTCTCTTCCCCCCTCCCCATCCCCCATCACTGTCCCATCTGCCCCTGAAGCTCCTTTCTCCCTTTGGAAGCAGTCTTGTATACTGTCACTTGATTATCTGAGAAATATTACTTATTTCAAAACGGTTCTGTAGGGAGGACCTGAAAGGCATCTAGTGGGAATAATCAGGCCTTCTAAAGGCCCTTAAATATGTATTTACATAAAACAGACCATAAATATTCCGACACACGTTGGCATATGACAAGAGCCAAGAAGGTTGCTACTGACTTTGTCATAGTGCTTCTTCAACCCTTCCTTGCAGGAAATGTTTCTCTTGCCTTCCACAAACTCAAAAATCAAAAGCACAGATGTTGCTTAGTCCAACCCTTCAAAGGCTGCTATCCAATCTAAGGCAAAGAAATGAAAAAGGAGGATGAATCCAGGACTAGCACAGGGTGACAGTCTCCTCTTCACTTGGCACCTTTGTGTCTGGTTAAAGATTAGTCACAAATGCAACTCTAGCTAATAATGTGGGTGTGTACAAACAGCCTGCACTCATAGATACTCCCATAGGTATAATGTCTGCACCCAAGAAAAGGAGAACACAAAGTACTCCATAAGGGGAGCATATTTTAAACAAATAAAAAGGGAAGGAACTCCAATTTATATAACATGACAATTTGAAATAAAGAAGTTTCCCCACCCTTCCGATCAGAATCTCATTAATTTCAAGGTCAGAATTCCATTTCACTTTGGGAGACAGATTCATTTAATTTTTCTCCACCCAGGCGTATTCCTGTGTGAGGGATCCATCTCCATGGGGGAATGGCACCACCACACAATGCAAACCAGGCAAACAGAAGAGTTATGGCTTTGACACTCGGAGGGGAATGGATATCCACAGCTATGAGTTCTGACTTGACTAACAAGCTTCCGCCTGCTCTGAGAGTCTGACACAGGTTTGGGCTAAAAAGACAGCAAATGGAGACAAGCTGGATCTGTTAGGTGAGAAGAAAGGAATCATGATCTCTAGATGTTACTTTGTAGCATATTGGTTTTGAGAAGATTTCATTTTCAACTTGGACTTGAAGGAAAAAAGGGTCAGAACCCTAACCCAGGGCACTTTTAGCCAGAGGTCAGATTACAGCTAGCTTTGATCACTTACATATCCCGTTAACAAATAAAAAGTAAAAGAAAATAAAACAAAAACAAAAACAGATCAACATAATACCAACACCTGTCCAGCAGGTATATTCGGAAGCAGGATCAAAATACACAGGAGTCGACAGAAAGTCAACAGAAAGGCTCGAAAGCCCAAGTGTGAGAACCACACTAGCAGTTGTGCTGTCATGTAGCAGCCTTCTCCCTTAAGTGGGGAGGTCTCCGGCTTACAGACGCTGACATAAAAGACACACTAGCAACATATTTCAAAACCAAAGAGCGATGGATTTACAAGGCAGGTTGATTTTATGATGACTTTTATTGAAAAGGTACGCTGGGTTTAGGCAGATGCCTTTTAGCGCAGGAAAGTTAACACAGTGCCTAATTCAAGGAGACAGCCTGAGGAAGCAGTGCCGACAGGGGAGAGAGCTGCAATGTCTCTATTACTCTCCTCGGCATCATAAAGAGAAGAGAAAAAAATGGTATTCGTGTTGGTGGTTATAGAGAGGACAGGAGTACAAAAAAAAATAGAGAAGAGGGGAAAGCAAACCTCAGATGTAGTTTTCTTAAGAAAATAAAATGAAGCAAATCTCAGAACAAAGGGTTGGGTGGGAAAACACCCTCAGTTCATAAATTCTCACCAGGCTTGAAGAAAACTGCTCTGTCTACCCACAGCCCAAAAGCTTCAAAACACAATTATTTTCTGATTATATCAGAGCAGAAGATTGCAAGGTTCAGCACTCTAGTCTACAAGTTCCAAATAAAGCTGTAGTTTCAACAATATGAGTGTAGCCAGAGCCCAACAAGGTTCTTGGAGAACATGAGAAAAGCCATTTTCTAAGCAGAAATTAATAATAGCTGTGAACATCAACTATGGAGCAGTCACACAGGTCAACCGTGTCTAGTCCTAAAAGTGAGCCCCAGGATAAGCGTCCAGCAAACCTGTCAAATCCCAAGAGAGGTCGGCTTTCCAGCCTTGCGAGCGCAAGGAAAACACAGCTGTTTGAAATGCTTTATGGTGATTGACGACACCTTTGTCCTTCTCTGAAAAATAGCCTGATGTGGACAAGGGCTGAGAGTTGTGAAAATAAAATCACGTGGAGTCTGCTGGCTGTGATACAATGGAAAAGCTAAAAAATAATACTGCAATCAGAGAGCCATAATGAGACCAGCAAAAAAGAGGAAGGATGGACAAGTTTTTCAGGCCTCCCAAATTCCCTGGGAACCTACACTTTCTAATGAAATGACCTTCACTCCAGTGTATATGGCACCCTCTTCATTCCACAATCCCCAGAAGAAGCAAGCCAGATCCAGGAGATAAAGCATGCTGAGGCCAATCTGCCTCTGGCTACTTTCATAAAAACACTTTCTATAAGAACTATCAGTGCTCATTGGTGAGAGACAAATAAATGTTAGCACTCCATAGCTATCGCAAGGGAAGTGGTTGACCCTTCCCGTCACTAGGAGCATGCACAATGCCGCCGACCTGTTGAACACTACTGGGAGGCAGGGCTAACTGGGGGCGAGGGAGGGCTCCAACCAAAGTACTTACATCTGTCATTCCGATCCTCTGGGCTAGATGAGGCTTCCCGATCAGAAATGAGGCCAGAGACCGCAAAAATCTTCTTCCCAGTGTCATCAACCTTAAGTGAACCGGGGGAACTAGATGGCAGCTGTGTCCCAAAGTCATATTCCTTGCCATCTGCATCTGAGAAGCGCAGGTGGGGAGACTCTGTGTCATGGCAGTTCTTAAGTCGCTTGGCCGGTGTAAAGGCTGACTGATAGCTCTCCCGGTCCTCAGTGGAAGCAAAGGGACGGAAAGCCCCCACACCACTATGATTCAGCATACTGATTGGGGTGCAATCTAGATTTGGGGGAGCAAACTGGGGGTGCAGATGTAGTAAGGAAGGGGGGAAATCACGATTGGCAAAAGTGCCTGGCACTCCACCTTGCCGATGGTACATAGAGGCAAAGGTGTAGGAACCATTGGTGAACGGAATATGCACATCCTTGTCTACTGAGACAGGTACACCAAAGGGTCGTGGCTGCTGACAAGGAATGGAAGCATCCCGGCTGGCCTCAGCCGTGGACGCCAGGACCATCAATGCTGGGGATGCCAGAGGGTTGGGAAGGTAGGATGAGTTCTCCATCTTGAAGGCTGCCCGGTGTAAGTCCATCGGAGTCTCTTTCAATGGCTGGTGTCACACAAGAAGCAGTCTTCCCTGGGAGGGAGGCCAAGCGGCACCTTGGATCAGGGCAGGGAATATTACTGGGGAATCATGCCCTTCTAAGACCTGCAGAAACAGCAAAGAGAAAAAAAGAGGGAGGAGGAAAGTCAGGGGGAGGAAAAAAAGGGAAACCCCAAGTGATCGAAACACCATCCTTCTGGCTTACAGATGCTCGGGCAAGAGACACCACAGGCTTTAGGAGCCAGTGGGCAGCAGCAGCAGACCATTTTCATTCAGGAAAATCAATAGACAACTTACTGTGATGTACGCGTAGCTGACTTTGGTCCCTACACGTTCCGGGTGAAATGCGCCTGAGCCCAGGAAAGAAAAAAAATCATAAAACCTCCAAATACAATATTCCCTGAGCAAATGAGCTTTGGAAGGCCAAGTCACCCAGTAGATTGGGGGGGGGGTGTCTATATTTTAAAGGGCTTCCACCACATACCCTAGTCATGGCAGGCCTGATGTTCAGAGGCTAGGTTCTGCTTATGATTTCTCACATCTCCATCCTCTCTTTATCTTCCCTAACAACGCCCAGATACTGAAAAAAACCTTATATCAAGCACACCTAGACCAGGAACATCTGTACAGATTAGTGGGTACAAACTGTACATGTGGCTTGATCATACCCATTGGCATGTACATAAACATATCTCTGTGTATCATCTAAGACTGTTTCCAGAAAGAAGTAGCAACATCATAGCAGCAACATCATTTTTGATGCACACCCCTCTCAAATCACACATCCTTCCTATTCCTCTTTTCTGAGAAGGAACAAAACCTTCATCAATAAAATGCCTGGCGTCTCTAATAATATTTAAAAACATAATGGGTGCCTTTGGCATATGCTCTCCACAAGCGTTTGTCTTCCAGGGGCAGCAAAGAACGGATTGGTAATTTTTTTAGTTACTAATGCACTCACTCCTAAGTAGATTTGTAAACTGCCTTGGATTTGCCATTAACATTTAGAGTAAAATGTTAACAAAATTTCTGACTTATTTTGCTCTGCTTATTGGCCTGGTCAGAGTTGATGTCCAATAAAGGCCCCCCAGAACAAACTGGAGTTCAGACAGACTTCTTTTGGTTTACCTTGTAAATTTAGGTTGTAGTTTTCATAGCCACTGATTGGGTTTCAGAATTTATATTGAGTGGGGGTTGGGGGGAAAGGACTATATATCAAAAGCCAGGAAAAGATAGACTTATTAGCTTCAAAAATATATACACTAAGTAGAAACTGAAGGAAACTCAAAGTGTAACCCCAAATCACCACCTGCTACAAAGAATAACCTTTAAATTGAGAGACAGAAATAAAACTGACACCCCCCCCTCTTTAAAAACCCACTTCCATAATGGAGTCTCTTTGGTATTCCCTCAAATAGAGAATCCTCAGTTAAACTGCAGATGAATCCTCTCCGCTTAATGCAGTGCAAAGAGAGTATTTCCTTCTCCCATCCTGTAGCAGACGTGTCAATGACTGTTATTAATTGGGAAGATGAGTGGACACCATCAGACTGCTTCCTCATTTGGCATCTTTCCTTATAGACATCATTGCTAAATTACCAGATTATGTATCTCACATTAACGGATTTTTCTCTCTTCCAAATTTTAAATAACTTTCCTGTCAAGTTATAGCAGTGCAAGGAATGATCTGCCAAGGACAGCCAGTTAGCCTGACAAGTCTGGGAATCCGGTTCTTGGCTGTTTTCAAGTCAGATTAATGGTCATACAACATGGATGCTCTGAAAGTGGATCTAGGGGGTTTCCAAGGGTTCTAAGCAGCTCTTCACAACCGAAATAAATAACTACAAGTCTATCCACAAACCATAGTTATGTGAGGCTGGCTGGAGAAAAGGACAAACTTAATACACTGGGGGTCTGGCAAAAATGTTTCTTCCCCAAAATAACTACCCCCAGGATTCACTTTCTATTTTTGCTTCCTGGATCACCTCATTATAATAAATGAGTTTCATAAATTAATAATCTGGTGACAGCACTGGACACTCCAATAGAACACAGTGAATCACTCAAACCTGCTTATTCATTTGAAAACTTCATTATACCGAAAATAAATCAACAATATTTTTCCAGGCCACATCTCTTTTACTCCACTGTGTGGGCGTTGGTCTCTGAGGGGGAGGAGGGGTGTTTTTTCTTTTCTCTTTTCTTTCTCCCCCCTCCTCACATTAACAACTTGTATAGATGAGGCTTCAGCAGACCACAGTCATTATGAAAATCTATAGTTAATACACTCCCAATGTCAAAATGTCATGGGTTTAAACACAGAACCCAAAATAAGAAAACTAACTGACCCTCTTAATTAAAAAAATATGGATTGTAAGATAATCAGCTTGATGGAGCATTTGGGTGACTGTAAAGAACCGGGCAGAGGGAAAGTAAGTAACTGTTACTTTTCTGCCTCTATGCTGATTTTTTTTAATTTAGCACTTCGTGCAAATCCAGATTAAAATAACTCCAGCTATTGATCCGAGCAGTGGAATTGACATTAATTTTAGTTCACTTCTCACTTTGCAAAGGGATCAATAGGAAGTAATAACAGCTGACATCCCCGCTGAAAGGAGGAGAAAGAAGGGCTGAAGACAGAAATCGAAAAGCAACCAAATAAATCATCAGCTACTTTTCCACGGCATCAGACAAACTCCAAACAGATTGCAAAAAGTCTTTGTTGAATTAACTAAACAAGGAGGAGGGATCAATCCACGAAGCTAAATAAATTGTCTGGCAGGCAGTGAGGTTGGACAGAGGGACCAACAAATATTGAGTTTTTAAAATCTCAAATCCTTGACGTGATGGGTTTTGGTTCAGTTCTGTGTGTGTGGGAGTTTGTTTCTTAAATCACACACCCGACCCTGGTTTAAAGTGATTACAAGACGCCAGCTAACTGAATAATTAGTGAGATTACTAATTGCGTGGTTAAACATGCCAGAACCAAGACAAATGAAACGAAGAAGCCGGCATTTGGAACGTGAAAATGTCTGAGACTGGGCTGATGCGCAGCGCTCCGCGCTCTCCGGCGCGAACTAACCACTCTCGCACAGAAAAACCGAAAGCCAGAAAGTCCCAGAGAGTGGGCTATCTCCCACCCTTGTCCAGGGTCTGGGCTTCCTGACCCTCGCCCAGGATCGGCGTAGGAAGAAGCCGTGTTACTGCTGTTGCTGTTGTTGCTGTTGCTGCTGCTGCTGCTGCTGCTGCTGCTGTTAGGAGCCAAACCCACTTGCAAATGACTGCCACAAAGCAAGCTGCAAAGGGCTCTCTCCTGGAGCCGAGCTCAGGGCGCCCACCAAACTACCGACTCTGCTGGCAATTAAAATGCACACACAACACTCCTCTGCTTATAACAACAGGTGACATTTTTGTGGTCTCTGAACCGTTTCCAAAAGCCAGGACTTAAAATATAGAACAAATTAAACGATATTTTTTCCTTTGCATAAATAAACTTTTAAAAAATTAACAGGCAACTTAAAAAGCAAAGAACAATGGAAAGTGAGGCCAGAGTAGTTGGGGGTTGTGAAGAACGCAGGAAAGATTTTTTTTTTTTAAGTTCACAGACTTCGCTTAAAGAGAATCCCCCCCCCCGCCCCAACCCCGCACACCAAATGCCCAGGGGGTATTTGGAAACACCGCCCTAACAGAAATTTTACCACCACACGTGAAAACTCTGGGAGCATAAGGCTAATACGGTTCTCAGGCTGTGGCCGACGCCTAAGGTTCAGACAAGGCTGGGTATCAGCCCCACCTTTGGATCAGGACCCAGGCCCTGCTTGGCTGAGGGTTGCGAATCCGAGACAACCGGACCGGTCGGATTGTGCGGAGCCGCGGGGATGCCCGCTGAGATAGCGGGTGCACAATTCAGCCGGGAAGAGTCATGACCCGGAAAAACCATCTCTTTTGGGGAAAACGGGGAAAGACGAGATGAAGGCGAAGCCTACATAAACTTGGGGCCATCGTTCAGCCGAGCCCACCCACCACTCGTTGGCCTGACTTCTCTCTCCAGCTCTTGGTTGCCTTTGTACAAAGAATACTTTACAGCTCAACAACCTCCGCATGGAAACAATTTGCTTTAACTTTGGGGAACCAAGGTGCCGGTTTCGCAAAAGCAAAGAAGCCCAAGGGGCTCTGGTCCACAGCCGCGCAAGGCCTCGGGGCAAGGTCTCCAAGCACTCTGCCTTCGAGCAAAGTCCAAGGACCTGGAGCCCCTAAACAGCCCCGCCCCGAGGGTCACCCGCTTCAGCGGGCAGCAACGGGCTCCTCCACTCTACTTTCGTGCAAATGCGGGCGAGTGTGGGGCTGCAGCGTTCCGGGACAGCGGGCGTGGGGAGCCGAAGGGAGGGTTTTGCCCTCTGCGCCACCGACGCGGAGCCGCCGCACCCGGCGCGGTTAGCAGAACAGGTGTGTGTCCCGGCTCGCTCCGCTCCCAGCCCCGGTCCCGTCGGTCACCCGCGGAGGGGCGCCGCCCTGTCCTCGGCCTTCCCCCACCTTTCCCCAGAGCGTAGCGAGCTAACTCACGCCACTTTTGCCGGGTCTTCGCAAGCCAGGAAGAGATCCGAACCGGAGATGCCCGGAGCGCTTTTCCTCGACGCTCTTTCAGTCTTTCCCTCTGCTCATTTTCCCTTTGCGGGAAGAGCTGGAGAGACAGAAAGAGGAGGAGGCCCGGCAAGGCACAGGGCCCCTGCCCGCTCTACTCCCCCAGTCCCACTCGCTGCTTCCTCACTGCCCGCCCTTTTTTCTTTATTTTTCTTTACTTTGCGCATTGCCCCTCAAGCCGAGTCTGGCAGGAGCGAGAGGCAAGACGTGGTTGCTGGGCAGCGTGGGCAAAGAGCGCCGGTGTTTTCCCTCTCTGCTGCTCCCGGGACAAGGAGGCGGCGCAGGCATGAGACCTCGGACAAGCCCGGCCCTCCAGGGAGGCCTGCTCCCCATCCCGATGGCCCTAGCCCTATGCACCCACCCGGTGTGACGCGCTCTGAATCCGCGGCCCAAGCCACCGTCTTCGGCTAGAGCTGCGGCCAGGGCCTGAGAAAGCAGTACGTTCTTAAAGGGAAGCGGGGGCTTGTCCTTTGCCTCTGGGCAGCCCGAGACCCTGCTACCTCGGGGCTTCCGCATGCCCTCGCCGGCCACAGTCACCCAGGCATCGAGCTCTCGTAGGGGCTCCTAGAGCCAGGGATAAACTGGACATCTCCTTGAATGGCCTCACCACCGTGGGCGGCCTCGCCCAGGGGGCCACACGGAAGCTCTCCGCCCAAGTTTGTTGTGCCCTGGAAGAAAAGGCTTTCTCTTACAAAGCACAAAGACGAAACGCCCAGGCCGAGCCCTGAAAAGCCCCGGGTTGCGGGGGGGCGAGAGGGGACGCCGGAGGCTCCGGAGCGCGGTGGCGGGCCGGACTCCGGGCGGGGAAGGTCGCTCTGCCCAGGCTGAAGAGCGCGGCGGCGGTGGCCGCAGGACTGCAGCGACCGGCGAGCTCTCTGAAAAGTTTTGTTCTCAAGTCGGAAGAAGAGAAATTGTTACTCGGTTTAAGGCAGGTCTAAGATAAAAATAACACTACAAAAAGAGCAACGGCGCCTGAGTCTGCACGATCATCCTCCCTTCTCCACTCCTTACAGCTGCTGGGTGAAGGGTCCTGATCCCCAAAATCCCGGGGGACCCCACGGATTGGGCTGCTGTAAGGCCAGGCAGGTCCACCCCAGCGAAGCCGGGAGTTTACCGGTTGCATTTAGAACAGTCCACCTCTGTGCCAGCACCTGCCTCCTACCATCGGCAGAGGATTCCCCTCACCCCACCCCCCTCCTTCCACACCTTCCACACCCGCCTCCGCTAGAAAAAAAGTAAGCCAAGCTTCTGGGGACCCCTAGAATCCCCAACTTCTCCTTGGATACCCCACTCGGCAGGCGGTGTGTTGTGTGGGAGCGGCCAGGATAGTGTCTCAACGGATCTCCCCTTCCTTAACCCTCCCGAAGCCTCCGGCTCCCCACTGAGTACCACCCAGCCCCAGCCCCGGACCCGCCGGAAATCACCGCGGGATACACCGGAGAGCCCAGCAAGAGGGCATTCTTGCGATCGACCCAAACAAAGTGGAAATGGGGCTTATTAGAACATGGAGAAAAGGAGTCCTGCTCCTTTCTCTTGGCTGTCCCCTCACCCACCCTACTAGTCCAATTCCCGCGTCTGGTCCCTCCCCCTTGCACCCCCCAAATAAAACACATTAAGGAAAACTCAAGACGGAAAGTTTGAGTGAGGCAGCGCACAGAGCGCGCCGGGCACCGACGCCGGGAGGCTTCGTCGCGAGGATCTAAGACGCGCCAGTGCAGGTCCCAGCCTCTGCCCCTATCGTGGGGGAGCCGCCCGAATCCCTAGGAGACCGACCCGGAAAGTTAGCCAGGTTCCTGAGCAACCCGGCCGCCCTCGCACCCACCCCTCTTATGTACGCACACACATCCACACCTCCTTCTGATCTCCATACTTGCCGTGGAAATTCCTGGGGAGAACGATCGCACTTTTCAGGACACTGAGGGAAGAAGGCGGAGAGTGTGGTGCATGA